AAAATCTTTAGGTTTGAGTTCTTTTCTTTTTGGATAAAATATTTAGTCAGCGGGGCTTTTTTTTAAAAAATCGATTCAAATTGAGCAGTTTATAACAAACACTAGGATTTTCATTTTCTCCATTTTATAATCTTTTATAATTTTTAAAGATCTTTTTTTCCTCGGGGAATTATTTTCCTAGATTAATAAAAAAAATCTTCTTATTCCGAGTTGATTTTTTTTTGTTCAAAGTGTTGACCAATAAAAAAAAATAGACTTAAATCTTACAAACATATTATACGAATGAATAATATGTTTTACCCCCAACCTTAAAAGGTGGGTGATATATCCTCGAGCGGGGCGTGAGCGGAACCGAACACGCTAGCGTCTCCTCCCTTTAGGGAGTCTATCGTGGCAGAATTTTTGCTCAATAAATCATCCATTTTGGTAAAGGGTGGGAAGATATATCCTAATACTAGTGTTTGTTTTGACCAAAAAAAAAATAGACCAATAGAAATGAGAAGTAAAAAAATAAGTGTTTTTATTGGTCACTTTCCGATTGATAATCGAATCGATATCTGAGAGTAGTTTTAAAAAAAAAATTTTGATTGACATGTTTAACAAAATATACGAAATTATATCAAAAGTCTGCAACCCCTGCCACACCCTTAGCGGGTTTAAGGACATGCGCAGAAGCCAATTTATATTTATAAATGCAAAAAATTAATATATATGCCTGACACTTAGCACTTTTCTTCTTCTTCTGTCCCCCAATAACCAAACTTCAGAGTCCTCAATCAGAATTTTAAGGTATTTAAACTCCCTATACATTTTTGTTTTGTTTCCGGAAATAAAAATAAATAATATTTTCTTCTTTTTTTCTTCTTCTAAGGTTATCCTAGAGTATCTATATACCGGGGTCTGCAATATCAATCCAGAAAATTCTATCGAAGTTAAAGTAGCCTGTGAGGTTCTGGATCTTAACAACGACACATGGCTTATGGATAAATGTGATAAAATGATAACGGAACACTCATAATAAAAAAAAAGAGCCAATATTTTCGTGTTAATACAAAGTTTATATAGACAATTGAACTAACGGAATTCTCTAATGATTTAATTTCCCCTTATATTTATAATAATCATTAATCCTTTTTTTTTTAAGTTTATGTTACAAAATAAAATTTATAAAAAAAAAAAAGGTAGTATAAATATGATCGTTCTGATTGGTCAATTATTTAAAGGTGCGTAACACCGGATCCAACAGCTGAGATTTGTATCAGCTGGTACCGCATTCATTATTTCGATCTATGTCGGGTATCATATTATCGATTAGAGATTGGCACAACCCAGCCAGTCCGAGATTAGTGGATTTTTGGGGTGGGCCTGTCAAATTGTATCATTTTATTTTATTGTCCATAATAATTATGGGTGCTGAGCCCGAGAACCACTATAGAAGATCCTTAGAATTTTTAGAAATCAATTACAATACCGAAATGCAAAAAAATTTTGATCCCATTTTAGGCTACATAGTACCTATTCATCCCTTTTTGAGACTATTCTCTAACATTTTACCCAAAATAACACACAAAATATCTTTTTATATATGATGCAGAGGTTGATCTTTATACAGCATAAATCAGACGGAATTTACCCGTTTTACCCCGTAACAACTTTACCCCCTCCAAGGCGATAGTTATTGCGTAAATCGTTATAACGTGACTTCCAATTATGCTATGAACTTCCGATACATTTAATTTTGTATCTATGGCTTTAGGAAACACGCATACAAATTTTTTTAAAATTTCCCGAGCCTTTATATATTTCGCTAAAAGCAACAAGAAAAAAAAAACTAGAAAGTGATTTTTATAATTTTTTGGGCAAATAAAAACGGGAAAGTTTTTAGAAAGACGAAGATAGGGTAAGAAATTGGATATAAAAATACGATTTCACACCAAATTTAAGGTTTTTATGGTCATGGTTTAAAAAGTTATTCGCGTTAACATAGTCACCCCGTCAATCGCTTCACCCCCGGTTTCCCCTACCATTACCCGTCAATCGCTTTACTCACCGGTTTCCCTTCCCCTACCCCCATAGGTATATCGTTTCGAAATCGCTGATCATCTTGAATCAGAGCTCCTCCGCATACCATTAATCCCATACGTAAATTATTTATTATTTCCACAACGAATCCGGGGCTTAATGGAACATTCATGAAATATATTCCATTTTTATTTATAACGGATCCATATTATTAAAAATACGTTATGAAAATTCAATTTAAAAAAATAATAAAAAGTAATATTAATAACAGAATCACTGGACAGAAAGGAAGGGGGGGGGGTGTTGTGAATACTAATGATGTCTGGCACGGATGATAACTGATATGGTTTCTCTTTAAAATTTAAATGCTTTCATAACCTCGTAAAACAAGTGGTAATGATGAAAATTTCTTTTAAATTTAAATGTCTCAACTCCACAAGGTCATCATTTCAAAATTACCTGATCAAATCATTATATGGTTAATTCAAAAAACGAACCAACATTAACGCACCCTTCAAAAATAGACCAACACAACATTAATTGCACATTAAATAATAAACTTTATATAAAATTATAATACCCAAAACTTATTTGAGCAATTCCTCTTCCATCCCGAGATTCATGAGGCCTTTGTTTCCTATAACGGATGAATGCCTGTTTACCATTCTATGTATTACATTATTTTCAAAGAGAAAATAGTTATATAATATAGCAGTAGTTAGACTTTTAAACATGTATGGTCAATACATGTGATAAAAACGAGATAAATAAAAAAGATTCATCATCGAATACAAAATAGATGGATTAGGGTTAAAAATAAGATTATTTGAAAAATTAATTTCTATCAAAGAATGAGATAAATAATTGATAAATTGATTTTGGATGTTGAAAGACAATGCTTAATTTTTAAAAATTAATAATGAATATTTTTAAAGATATTCACGACTTGAGTTCGACTTCAGAAGGTCGACTAATTCGACTAACGACTCAGACTCTGAGTCAGAGTCGGGTGAACTCGACTTTTTAACAACACTAAAAGAATGAGATAAATTATGATAAATTGATTTTGGATGTTAAAAGACAATGCTTAATTTTTAAAAATTAATAATTAATATTTTTAAAGATATTAATTTGCTTTAAGGATAACGTAATGATTGAACGCAACTTAACAAGTGAAGTGTAAAGTTTAATATAGGAAATCGTTTGAGTATTTTTTTTAAAAATAATAATTAAGCATTACAAGTTAACTGTCTTTCGATTATCAAAATGTGATTATTATTTTTAGCGTAATACCATTTATTTATGTTGTTAAAAACTATGGTTTATGGTTTAAACCTAGTGTTGTTAAACGGCTCGTTTCGCGCCGATTTCTAAAAACGGCAAACTCAGTATTTCATTCAGAAAAATATTGCGCAAGCCTGAAGATTTTGCTCATAGAAGGAACCAAGGCTTAGAGACATATATTCTGGAAACCTTGAGGCCTGGGCAATATTTTCCTGGCTAAAATATTTAGTTAGTCATTTTGAAAAATCTTAACAACACTAGGGTTAACTGTTAAAGTAAATTTTAATAACATTAATCTATTTGTTATATATATATATATATATATACTTTTATAATTTATAAATTGCGCATTACCGCAGATTAAGTTAATATTTTTGAAAATTGATTAAGGAAAAAAAATATGTATAGGCTATAACCTAACCCTTAATGGCGCAGACCTGATTCACGAAACTGCTAAAAGAATGTGAGGTTCTCGATAAAATTATATTGGTTTTTAATATTCACGTTAAAAATTAGCGTAATTAAGTCATGATTTTAGTTTGTGAGAGAGCGACCATCAGCCGCTTCCTGTAAAATTAAGCGAGAACCAGGAAAAAGTATCGAAACAAAAATGGAAGGGGTAATAAATATATCTCTTAAAAATATTTTTATCAATTTCACAAATTGTCTTAGAGATACTTTTGTCGAATATAGGAACCCCGTGATAATTTTTGGGGAATGAATTTAGGATTGACATTAAAATCAATCCCAAACTTTAGTGCCCGAATGTCGGAAATTTATTTTGAACCTTGATATTTTTAAAGTTTATTAGGGGAGAGGATCAAATTCTGAACCTAGGGTAAAAAAAATTCCAAATTATTTTGTTTTCCTTAACGTTTTTCTTCTTCTACGAATATCATTTTCAAGAATAACCAAAAAAAAGGTGATCAATCATCCTTCAAGTGCTTAGAAAATATTTTTTTCCGATTTCGTTGAAGTAATCGTACGTACCTTTTCCAGCAACCGCAATAAATAATGAAATTCGGATTCGGGTTTATTTTCTAAAATATAATTTTGGATTTGGAGTAGGTATCATTTCTAGAATTTAGTGTTGATAAAATAAGGTCCGATAGAGGGTTCCAATGCGAGCGGGAATAAAAATCCAGGCAAAATATAATCTTTTCTTTTAACGCCCACCGCACTATTAAAATGATTCAAATTTTAAAGTTCTCCCCCCATACCCTTTAGTTTGACCTCATCTTGAGCCCGATTAATTAAAAAACGGCTAACTCAATATTTTATTAGGAATTATGTTATGTGAGTCTTAAGAGGTGGGGCAAAGGGTTGAACATCTGTTTAACGGAAATCTCGAGGCTTGGAATAATATCTTTCCGGCTAAAAGATCGAGTTAGCCGTTTTTAAAAATTCGGCTCAAATCGACAACACTACATACTTTTAGTTGCAATACCACATTTATAAATAAATTTCTTAATACCCTGAGATTATGAAGACACATACTAACTATATATTTCTTGTAAGTTTATGTTGTAACGAGCGCGACTATATATATATATAAAATATTGACTTTATAACTTTGCTTGTATGTTAAAGAGCATAGGGTAGAGAGGAGAAGAGAAGAGAAGAGAAGAGAAGAGAATTTATTTAAAAAAATATATAATATCTTTAAAAATAAGTTAGCAATTAAAGACATAAACTAAAATAAAATAATTTATTTACTATAAGACTCGTACAAAAAGGTGAAACGATTTTAATTATATAATATGATATGATATAATAAATTCTATGAAAAAAATATGGTAATTTATGTTATAATATTTATAATATATTAAATTACAAAAAATTTTATATAATAATAATTATAGTATTTGAAAATATATTTAAAAAAAAAAAAATTGAATTGGAAATTTTATATTTTTTAATTTGTAAAAATATCTATGATTTCCTTTATATCGTTAGGCAAAGGATAATGGTACTAAATTGGGGAAGGATATTAGACGATGCACCTTATCGAAAATAAAAAAACCCTTAAAAGACGTCTTTTAAAGTTTATGAGTGTTTTAAAAAAATTAAAACAAGCAAATGTTTTGAGTTTATAAGCTAAGATATCAAAAATAAATACTATATAAAAAAAATAATAATAATAAATTTTAAAAACAAGTTTATTCTATAATATTCTAATATTCGAAAATGGATTTGTAGGAACTATCATCTTTGAGTTGCTTAGCATCGGGTCTGTCGTCTGGATTTTGCGATAACAACCATTTGACTATTTGAAACTTGTAAGACAAAAAATAATAATTTGATTAGAGATATTAAGAATATCTTGATTGGCTAATCTAATAATATGAAAGATAGATTTTAATTAACTAATAATATGAAAGATTATAAAAAATTCGATTTATTTGGAGAATAATTTTTTCGTTCACAACCAAATCAGGTAAGTCTAAATTGATTCATATGAATATCATTCAAAAAAAATAAATAAGTAATAGAATCTAACAAAAAATATATTAATTTTTATGATTGATATCTTTCAGAAATATCTTCCGACAAACATCAATTACAGTACCAAAGGTTAACTAAAGACCTTACCCCGTTATTGGCGTTAGTGAAAATAAGTTCTTTCAACATCCAAAACACTAAAAAAAAAATTGATAATTTAACAAAAATGCCCATTTATAATAATATAAATTTGACCTTATCAAATATAACCCTACCACTAAGTTGCCTGTCAGGTCGTCTAATCCCGCATCTAATTTCGGTTAAACTTAGCAAAACTATAAAATTGATATTGTTCTAGCTGCAGCCTAGCCCATTATATCACTCATTCATCTGGATATATCAATTTTGTAGGGTTTATTTAGAGGCTATTTCTTGAGGGGCTGGTGGGAAACGGGGTTGCTAATTTTTGTGCAAATTTTTTACCCCTTGGAGGTATATATTATTCCTGAGGCTTTTCCTCCGATCACTAGTTTTGTGTAAAAGTTTAATCGCGCTTGCGCATAAAGATTTTTCGAGATTTTACAAATAATAACCATTTAGATAAGGCATAGAAAATGATTGCCAATAACTCAAATAAATTTTAAGACCTCCCTTACCCCCAATGCTTATATGTTGGTATTCTTTCTTTGCAAGACTTCGTAATCTAGATAAGAAATTGGCATCTTCCCTTTTTTAAAATTAGTTTTTAATCGCGTTTAATATATATATATAAATAAACCTCTTTAGGATATTCCGTTTGAAAATCTTTGGGAAAATTGCCTTGTCGGCATTGCATCAAGGTCTATTTATAATAAAATATATTTATAGTTAATTTTGAATTAAAAGATTATATTATATAATCGGTTATAGCTCTGTTAGTTTTTATTGCCCAAAGTCAATTATAAATATTAGTTCAATGTTTCCGTAATAGGCGAAAGATTGCGTTTTCAGCCTTATCGTGGCGGGAGAGTCGCAACGTCTTTTGGCGGCTAATGGAGGTCTAAAAAGTTCCCCGTGGTCTGGGTCTAGGATAGGATAACCGTCTCCTCTACTGGCGTGTAAAAAACAACCTAAAGGGGGGTTGACGTCAGAAAGGGCATCCGATTGTAAAAAAAACCTTGCTACAAAATTTTCTAAAGATTGAATCAGAGGGAAAACTGGCCAACCTGGGAAAAACCTGGAAATCGCCATTAAAATGAGAAGAAGTTAATGTTTCCGTAACCGAATATTAGAGGTCAAATTCACCCCCCCCCCTCATTTTACAATTTTTTTTTTACAACTGAAGGATCCCCAAAGAGACGCTAAATAACACGTAAGATTCTACGTGTCCCGCCATGAACATGGAATTTTGAATCATTAGAATCTGGAGGATCCTCCAAAAGAAAGAAAGGTTTAAAGATTTACCCACAAATATTGGCTTCATAAATGATTTAAATCTATAAAAAGGGAGATTCATTACCTTTATCCTTTCCATTTGTGTCGAAAAAGGGTAGAGCAACTCGAAAAGTATCAAACCCAGCGAATAGATATCGACTTTATTTGTGTAGACCTTGTTTTCAACCTTGCGTTTTTTATTTGTGTTTTTTATTTTTGTGTATTGTTTTTAAAAACAAGATTTTCATATTAGGAAAAGATCACGTGATAAATAAATTTCGATTGAGCGATCTCGAAAAGAAAAAAAAATCTTCAGATCTTTTTCAAAGAATATTATTTATATTTTTTTGGCGATCTTTAGAAAAAATTTTTTGCTCAAAATAATTTCTCAAATCCATAATCTTTACTTGTTCGGGGCTCATGTAAAGCCTGGTTCCTACTCTCAGTGTATACTGCTTCCCGTTCCTGTCCACGTGATCGATTTTGCGACCCTTGGAATCGTTACCGGATACGTTGTCCAGATTGGCGTCGAGATTTCTTCGGGCATCATCGTTCGAGGAGACTAAACTGATCATCGTTTGACTATTTAGGGATAGCGTGTGATGTCGAGAAGCGGAAGCGGGAGTCAGATTGGGAACGGCTAGGCCAAAATCCCCGATCTTGACAACCCCTTCCACGGAGAAAAATATGTTGGAAGGCTGAAAATAATAATAAATAAGCGTCGTTTACAAGTTAAATTTCACCCTTAAAAAAAAGGGGTATATAGAGTTACATCTTTTCAAAAGTAACTTTACTATAGAGGATTTATTTACTTTTTGGGCAAAAATATACTTGTAATCAGTTACTTCAACAACACGAATAGAAATAGAGGAGTGAAATTTGTGAAAATAAGACCTAAAAAAAGGGTAAAACTATGGGCGAGAACCGAGTTATTCTAGATAAACTTCTTCCCAACTATTATTCCCATAAGTACGTTATCTGCTGTATTAAATAAGGTACATCAATATTTTTACAAAAAAAAAATGATTCGTTCCTAATATAACACATACTACAAAAATTAAAAAATTTATATAAATTGGGTTTAGTTATTAAAAGGAATTCACATTTAAAAGCTCTGATATGCGATAGTGGGACATGGGAGAGGGAGTCCTGATGTTTTAAACGGCTAACTCAATGTTTTATCCAGAAACATATGAAGCAAGCTAAAAAAAATTTGCTCATAGTTGGCACATAGGATTGAACATCTTTCGGCGAAATCTCGAAGTTAAGGCGATATTTTTCTGGCTAAAATATCGAGTTAGCCGTTTTTAAAAATCGGCTCAAATCGACCCCGTTTAGCAAACACTAGTTGGTTACGGTTGTCCTTCAAAATTAAAATGCTCCATCTCCACCTTTTATAAACAAAGAAAAATTGTCTAACGAAGAATATTTTAATTATCTTCTTTTGCTTGATATTTTTTTATTTATTTATCAGACACGTGTTAATATTTATAAATGGAGACATTTAATGATCCAGTTGCCAATAGCATACGAGCCAAAAAAATGGCATAAAAATGGCTCCATCTAGATCACATTATATTATTCCTGCAAATTAACTTTCAAATCCCTATGGATCAACCCCCGTTCGTGGAAATACTGGACGGCTTGAACGATTTGGTCAAAAATGTATAGGGCTTTCCTTTTAGTGTTGGCGGAGAAATCGTCGCGTATATGGGAGCCGTTATTGTCGCCCGACCAAGGAAAGTGAACGTAAGGGAAGGAAGGGCCGTGGCTCGAAGTGCTGTTAGAAGTAGTCGAGGATTCCATGTGCAGCAACCAGTCCTTGAGCGTTCTCCGCTGGCATAATTGCATCTTCGTAATTTTGTTCCAATAAATTTTAAGGCGAAATTTTAATTTTGTACTTATTGATAAGAATTCTACAATGTAATCTAATATAAAATATCGGAAACCTGCTGAGGTCAAAATGTTAGGCATGCCCCAAATTTTAAGTCCGGCGCAACGTTCTATTTGAACTCCGTTCTAAATATACTCACCTAAACTTAGTTGCCTAAATATTACGTAATAATTTGTTAATAATTATATTTATCAGAATTTTTTTTAAATCCCCCGACTATTGTAAAAAGGACCCAGCCAAGACAGCGTCATTTTGCCGCTTTTCCTATCAGCTGGACGGCTGTTCCAAATTAGCGCCTCGTCGTTTATTTGAACATTGATTACATTATAATTAAAGAATTTGATTTGAATGAACTCCTTAATACTTATTGGCTGGTACTGTTTACAACGGGAGTGTGTTCAAAGTTATAACGGCCCAGATTGTTTAAATCGTACCATTTTTTTGGCCCGTTCCAGACCGGATTCGCCGGCTGAACCAGCAGGTTTCTGATATAATATTTACAGTTTAAACCGCGTATTGCAAGGGATATAATTATAAATATTCGTTACACTCACTTGAATGTATAGAAACAATTTGGACTTGGGCTCGTGGCTTATCCTGGAACTAACTTTGTCGGTCCTCTTGAAATGGTCACCTTTGTCCCGATTGACCCCCGGGGATGATTCGCTGGAGTCGGGCAAGTTGCTCACGGGCTCAATGCGGTAAGAATAGTTGTAAGGATCGGAATAGGAAGAAAGATTCGTGGTTGAAAAGGAGGTAAATACCTCATCGGCATCGCTAGGTATGAGTGAAAAATAATTTTTTTTGGAGCGATTATCGTTATCGCGTAAGGACCTGCTTGAACCACCATTCTTAAAATGACCGCCCAACCTTGGTCTTATTGTTTTGGGATAATACCCCGTAGAATTATATGCCATTGAATTTTATCCTTCATTCTTGCTTACTATTCCTACCTAGCATTTCTCTTCCTACTATCTAACAGTTCCTAGAGTTTCAAAAATTATAGTATTTTGTAATTATAACCCCCCAGAGTATGAAAGTGATTTTACGTTCCTACGCATTCATCCTAGAGCCTTGTAAAGAGCAAGGATACGCGAATTTTCACTGAAGATTCTCTGCCAAAAATGGGAAGGAATGCTATTCAATTTTAGTGAAGGTCAACTAACTGGGTTCGAAACTCTCAACAAACCAAGAAAAAAACTTTAAAAAAATTCGGATCGAGTTTAGGAACCAAATTGAAAATCTAGTTATTTTCTTCACGGGATGAGTCCGGACAATTGACCTCGATTATCTAATTTTCTAAATACGTAAATAAGTATTTATCCAAAATTCAACCTTTTGTCGTTGGAATCATTGAGATGTTTTTTGCTATCGGTGGTAACGTTGTACTTTGCCAGATCCTTTTTATAGCTTTTGGGTAGGGGTATATTGCTGGAAGGTTCTATCCAGGCCTGAAAATATCTCACTATATTGATGTGATCCAGTTTGGCCAGAGCTTTAACTTCCCTCAAAACCTTTTCCCTCGAGCTTTCGCTAAATGAGTTTATATATATAATGGTTGTGGTATGGTAAGTATAAATCGTCTCACAGGAATAAATATTTTAATATATATATATATATATATATATATATATATAAACGGTGCTATTATGATAACAATTAAAAGAGGCGCGGAACTTGTCCGCCAGGAGGGAAAGAAAATTTTAGCGCGGATAATATTTAAAGTTATCTCGAAGCGATTTTTCTTCGAAAAGTTTTTTTTTTTAAAAAAAAAATTCGGGTCGATATAACCAAAATAACATTATGGTTATACTCAACGATTCGGCTCATGTCTGGCAGAAATACTTTTTGAACATCTGTTTGCTACTCGATGCTAACTAAAATCTTAAATCGGACCATTTTAAAAAATCGACCCCAAATCTGTGGAGGAGGGGTTGTAACGACACTACTAAAATTGAGATTTCTTAACACAAAATTTGGTAAAAAAAGATAAACTAGTAAATTATAAACCTAAGAACAAAGTTTCCTAAAGAATTCTATATAAAAATCAGAACAAAACAAAAAAATCTCATTCCCACCCGCCACCCACCCATTTCCGTTTCTTCTTTCTTTACTCACTTATTGGGCAAGGTTATCCGCTTGATCGCGTACGATTGGTCGTCCATCTTATTTTTCACGCGTAAGACTAGGCCGAATCCGCCCTTTCCCAGACTATTAATGATTTGAAAATCTGTATGAAATCTTTTGAATATTTATTTTTTGAAAAGATTTTATTTCCGTAATTATTATAAAAAAATCAAATTTCTACGAAAATATCTTTTTTTTAAAAAAAACCTGGAAGCTATATGAAGACCGCTATCGACAGAATCGAATCGGCCACTTTTCGGGTTGGGTTCAACCGCCCCGTTATTAGAGATGTCGGTAGTATTTATCCCTACGTCATTGTTGTTGAGCATCTCCAACCTCCCTTTATTTTTGTCACGTTTTTCTTTGTATCCCGGGGATAAAGATGGTTCGTTTTTGGAGTCGGCCATCAATTCGAGAAGACCACCCCCACTTTTAATGGAGTTGGGCAGGGAGTTATTATTGGTGTAATAGCCGGAAGAATGCCTGTTACCGCTACCGCTGCCGTCCGAACTTCGGTGATTATCGCCGTAATAACCACCGCTTCGTTTAACGTGGCGGGAAATCAGAAAATTCAGGTAGGTCAAAAGGAAATGCGGAAGACATTTTTGGGCTAATTCCAGCCCGGAAAAGAGGAACAAGTGAAGTAAACAGGTGATGAAAAGGCTGGTCAGTATGATTTCTTTCCTTTTTATTTTTTTTTGATTTTTAAATTTAAAATCGTAAATAAGAAAAATAATGTTATGTTTAGTAAGCCGGCGAATCCTGATTTAGGATAGATCTAGATACATAACCGGGAATAGAAAATTTAGTAATTGAAAGGTATTTTCGGTAATTTTTCAATCTTAGATTCTCACGGGGGCAAGTTAAAGGGGAGTGCAGAGGACTCAATCCCAACCCCCATCTAAAATGGATTCTCAACCACCCTCACTTAATTCGTTCTCCAACCCTCCATTTTCAACTGAATTGATCCTTCAAACATAGCCGTTTTATCCTCTAGCTAGAAAACTGTTAAATTTATAAGCGAATCGCGATCTAACCAATATGCCCATATAGGGTATCGACCGTCTCCTAGCGTGTAGAGGGAATAAATCCTGGCATCACCCTTTCCCCTTTTCCTGTCAAGCTGACTTTTTCCCCCGAATAAATATCGGTACCGATTTCGAGAAAAACAATATTTGCTTTGATTTTCGGATACCGGGTCACCTTTTCTACCTTTATTGGTCGGGGAGAATCGCCGCTTTTGGGGGACAGAAAAACAGTAATTGTCGGGTCTAGTCCTATTTTCCCCGTCATCTTCGTCGAGGTCCCCTGGCGACCGCGCGTCTTGATCGAAATTCGCGGAATTTTTGTATCTCTTTTTATTAGGCGCCGGGTGTTTAGGCGAAGGATCGTATTGATTTTCTGGCCATAGGTAATAACCGGTATCTAAATGATGGAAATGATAGAGCCATAATAAAGCCTATAGATATAAAGCACATATAAACATCTTGATTTTAGATTATTATTTCACAATGTCTGGGAATTATTAAATTAATCTAATTTTCCTTGTGGAAGATGATAACAAATTAATAAAAAAAAAATTACCAAAAGGGTAATCCATATAAGATTTGAAAGAGGTTAGGGCGGAAGTGGAAGCCGAATCAATAATATCGTCGGAATTGGCATCGGCGACTGATTTATATTCGACTTTATCGATATCGTCCGACTCCCGATCAATATCGCTGAGGTTGTTGACGTCATTTTCATCGATTTTGTCGCTATTATAATGGTAATCGAGTGAGGAATAGCGGGTATTTATGATTGGCGTCCGCGATAAACCTAGATGGTTTAGGAAGGAATAAAATACAACTTTATTTTTTTTATATCAACGAGAATGGCCCGCTTGACCGTTAAGTCGGATGAGACCAGACTGTGGGGGAGTTGGTCCGGTTCATGACCCATCTTATATAAACTAAACGCGATGCAATAACTCTTAAAAAAACATTTCTTTTTTTTTTCTCTTCTCTTCTTTTATTTGTTGATGCTGATGATGCATATTAAGTTAAACCATAATAGAGCGAAGATCGGGAAGGAGCTAACACTAAGCTTGCTAACAAAACAAGCTCGTTCACATACACAACAAACATTAATAATGCCATGATTATATTAATGATAAAAATACCAAATGAATCAAATCTCTATTCCCCCTTATCCTGTATATAAAAGTGCAGGATGATAACAAGAAATCTAATAATATAATGATAAAATGAAATTATGCAAAGGAAATCAATAACTAGTAATTATAAGAGTAGTAGAATATAACGGCAAGAGTAATAATATCATCATCAGCTCTCAATTTCCATTCCTAAAGATTCAATTACTTATATGTTATATGTCTATTTAAAGGTATTCGCCTACCTTAAGCTTAGCAATTTTTTTGAAATAAACAATGAAACGGAAAGGAAAGGAACGAGTAAACGATGAGATATTATAAAGTGTTAGGCATTAAACTGATCATGATTTACGTGTACGTCTATTAGAAAGTAAATCATAGTAAACTTTTGGTCTTTGGTTAAACCGAACCGTGATGTCGGACCTGTTAGTCAGCTGAGACCAGACTGGACCGTCGATCGATCCGGCCGGACCACTGACGAACATTACGTAGTATAAACTTTAGAGAAAAAAAATCGCAATATTGCAGGCAACTGGAGTTCTGAATTCAAATCAAGATCCAAGAATAGGAAAGATCGAACGTTCATCGCATATCGTGTATTCAGAGGCGGTACGCGTCCACGTACAAGATAACTTGGACTAGACGCGTCACGCAAAAACTTTACGTACTGAACGTTTAATCTTCTCTTAACTATATATAACAACATAACAATAAATAAATAAAATCAAAAAGCGAAACTAGTGGCCAAATAGGGTTTCCAATAAACGGTAGGAAATCCGACGGGATAATTATTATGAGCGTCGCCATCTTCCTCATTTCGTCGCCGATCAAAAATATTGCGGGCATTTCGGGAATTGTAGTCGTATCGGAATCCAGAGTTGCGGCCGCCACCTCTTAGGTCAACTAGCGAGGTATCAAAATTATGGATGGATGATTGGACGTACAATTGTCCTTGGTAGGTGCCTATAAATTAAGATTTTAATATTAAAAAAATATTTTACCAAAAATTTTGACATTTCTCTTGAATTTTTATTCCAAATAATACAATTCCTTTTTTTTCTTTCATTATTCATTCTTTTTATCTTTCTTTCTATTTATATTATTTATTTATTTTTATATTAAAAAAGAAAATTTATTTACCAATATATATTGGAGTCCCACGAGGTAAGTAAGATTGAGAAACTTTTAAAGCACCGACATATTGATTGCCATGCAGGTCCAAAGATTGCAACTTACCATCTATGAGTGACCACACTTTGGCTATTGGGCAAGTAAACTTTAAAAATGATAATAAAATCATAGGTGAATCCATTTATTTTAAAATTATATAAATATGGGAGAAATAATAAATAAATATTTACGCTTCTATGCCATTCTCGTTCCCTATCAAGATGGCCGCCATCACTCGTATCCCATTTGACGGGACGTTCGGTCACATTATTTTTAGGCTGCCACATAACGGCGTATCCTTTCTCGGATCCGGCCTTTCCGTAACCAGTTATAACGCCTTCAGACACGTGTACCGTTAGGCCGTATTTACTCACTCCTGGTTCGCCATCTTGAATATTATCGCCGTCTTCATTTTTATCGGGAGTCTCGTATTCGTCCGATTTTGAAGTATCGTCTGCTTTTGTTTCATCTTCATCTTCTTTATATTCGGTAACGGAAGCATCCGATTCGTTAATATCGTCTGATTTGTCGCCATTTTCGGTGGTACCGGTTGACGACCACGATTCGTTCGTAATATCGTCTAATTTTTCTTCAAATTCGTCTTCCGAGATGAAACCGCCATTTTTTATATCAGATCGGAAGTTGATGGCAGGTTTGGTTAAGGTAACAGGGGGTTTCGGTGTAGTAAAGGGAATCTTAGCCCTCAAGAGTTTGAGCTCCAGATCTCCCACGCTAAAATTCCACCTGCAGTTGGTGATAATCGGAGAAAAAAAAATATATAATCAGTAGTTGAAATGATCAAATCCTATAATTACCTTTCTTCTCCAAGCCTACTGTCAATGCTTCGGACTATCCGATCGACCCTCTTGATCAGGAGAGAATCAGTCGCAAGTGGGCATCTGTAGTTGGGTTTATTGGCATCCGCTGGCTCGTTAAAATATTGGCAACCCTCTAAACCGCAGACATAATGGGGCTATTTTGGAGAAGATATTTTTTTAAATAAATTGAGTTTAGCTTTCAAAAAAAAATGAGTATAGACCTTATATTTGGGCAAACCAAAATTAGGTATAAAAGCATTCGGTTTTGACCAATGATGTGATGTTGTACACTACTAAATTGGCAATTTGTCGATCAAAAGTGAACATACATAAAGAGTCAGCTTGTCGCGCCATTTTGTGGTTTGCACGTCGACACAACTGTCTTACCCGATCATAATATCAACTATTAACTGGCATATTAACATCATTTAATAGACGCGCAGTCCATAAAATGGCACTACAGCTGACTCGTATGGCGCGCTTTTAAACGCGTTTAATGCGTGAACCGCCACTCTAGAATCGTACACACATCGTTGGTTCTTACACAGCCGATCCAATTTTTAATTTGCATATTTTACAGAAATTCATTTGCCTTTTTGGGGGTAATTCTATTTTTTTTACTTTTCCGGTTTTTAGGTCAATATTGAAAGTCGTAACGTATTCGCCACCCAGGAGCACTATATCCTCGCTGAATCTTAGCGAGTTTTTGAGAAGATTCGAAGTAGAAAAGGGCAAAGCCCTGATCACTTCTTCGTTAAGATCGTTGCGATCCACGTGATCATCTCCCGCGTTATTATCGTCTCTCTTTTCCCGTTCCTCGTATTGATACAACTTCCCGTCCAAAGATGGAATCACCCTGATTTTAACGCCATTCCTTATAGCCTTTAATAAACGAAATAATTTTTTTTTTCTATTTTGTCGCAAAAGCTTAATTGTAATGATTTATATATATATTTTCCTTGAGTGAGTAAAGAAGAAACGAAGAGATTAAAGGAAAAATCGTTGCACATTTCCAAGTGGGTTTTAGGTGTGAGCCGAATTGACCCCTATGGAATGGACCGCACCGCCTTCCCTTCCCTAAGAAATTATTCGGTTGGGTGCAGACTAGAAGCCCGCCTGATTCTAAAAATCTCACCCGTCGCGTCATATTTTGATTCGCTCACCCGTTTATTTGTTTAAAAAATGTGTTTAACCCGCCCGCCTAATGTCTTCGAATGATTTGATTGATTGGTTTCGTGTTTATAAATGATTTGATTGATCGGTTTTGTGTCTGAATATAATTTTTAATTCTGCTCATATCGCTCGAAAAAAAAAATAGTTTAAATTTCAACGGCACGTCGGCCCCATCCATATGTTTTAAAAAATATTTTTAACTCACCTCACCCCCCCCCCCTCAATGCCTCTTAACTTGTAACTAGGGCAGACTTGAACACGTGCCCATTTTCCTCACTATTAAACGATGATATTATTGGTTGATGGATTCTACGTGACCAACGATTAGATCGACATTATTTTAAAAAAATTGGTGCGATCCTTTAATCCAAGAATCTTTAAAACTCTAGCTCAAATGGATTTGGGAGTTATGGGCTTTCAATGTCTAATAAGGGTGTGATATTGGTTTTTTTTTTAAAATCACTTTTTTCAATTTCCGGTAAAACGAAAATGAGTCATATCTTGATCTTAGTTCCACGATTCGAGACAAATGCGATTCGCCGGAAGTGTTTGTTGCCAATTTATTCAAATTATTTGAATAATAATTAGAATTGGAATGGGGGAAAATAAGAATTTAAAAAAATATTATGTTTTTTTCATAATTTTGGGAGATTAAAAAAAAAATTTAATGTTAAAAGAAAGAAAGAAAGAAAGAAAGAAAGAAAGAAAGAAAGAAAGAAAGAAAGAAAGAAAGAAAGAAAGAAAGAAAGAAAGAAAGAAAGAAAGAAAAAGAAAGAAAGAAAGAAAGAAAGAAAGAAAGAAAAAGGATAAAATTACGAAGCTTAAATAAAAAATAAAACTCGTTCAACGCTATACATTCACTTCCCCATGAAAAAAATAATTAAGTATTCTATAATACATTATAAATAATAATTTCTAGTGCGCACAAATTGTACGTTTAAACGCGGCGTTTCAAAACGCAAATTGTAAAAAAAACGCAAACGCAAGCGATGTTTTAAAATTGAACCGTTAATTACCTCTCTATTTTTTGAAACGGCTTCAATTTTATTTAAAAAAAATACTGTCCAATTTAAACGACTGCGTTTAAAAATGTATTATTTGCGTTTTTGAAGCGATAAATTTATGCGCACTGATTATATTATACATGTTATTAAAACATCAATCAATAATATATATATTATAATGAATATGTTAAGTAATCCTTTAACGTAAACACCTATTACAATTTCCTGAGGCTTTCCTATTATGTCATGTGGTAGATATTATTGCTAACAGCTACGATTTTCTAACAATTGGATGTTATTGTTAAAAAAATAATATAATAATTAAGATTTATGATAAAAAAAATAGGCGCCAAAATATGGCGTTTAAGCTCCTTCCGGTCAAAAACATTTTTTTATTTTAAAAATAATTGGGCCTAAAGGGAATTGAAAATAAAGAATTTATCCAATTATCCAAGCCGAACCGGGCTTAATATAATATTACCTCTCGTATGCGTCTCAACTATATTCGACCGTATATAAAATATTGTATAATGTAAGAAAATATGACGAATACAGTATCCGGTACCGATCGATCCCGGATATTCTCTCGACCGGTTTTTGCAAATTATTTTCTTTAAAATATGTGAAATTGATTTTTTTTTCTTAAAAAAAAACAAAGTAGGTAGGTAAAACACAAAAAAAAAATAATATGATTAATTACACTATCGAAAATATGCTAATTTATCTATATTATTATATGTATATATATTTTTTATTGAATTACATTTTACATTCATTCTTGTAAAGAGAGTAAATTAAATATTAATTTTTTTTAAAAAATATAAGATTCAAGGTCCGATCGATAAAGAAATTGAAGCTGATAGATAGATCATCTGGTATAATGATATGGCGCCCTCTACATTTGGTTCTTCTTATAAAAAAAATTAAACCAAAATTACGTGATATTAAGCGCATCACGTCATATACAACAGAGCAGAGCTTGATGCTTTCATGAAAAGCTATCGCAAAACTGGGATAGGAGATGGGAATTAATTAAGAGGACCATGCCGCAGTTACCTGTGCGCGGAAGAGGCAAAGCCACTTGCTTATACGCTCACGGAAAATAGGGGGAGAGGGTAAAAAGCCCATGCCCGATAGAAGGTTTATATTGGCTGTGTTAATTTTTACTTTTAAATTAGCATCGTGAAAACCTAGGAATAAACATATGATTAAATAAAATAAAAATACCACTAACAAACACAGTACACAATCTCACTTATCGATAATACTAGTTCTTAATATTCTAACTTTGAAGAAAATCCTCCATCATACCGGAAAAAACCGAACCCAAAATAAAATCAGAATATTCATCAAATTCTTATCAACTTTCATTTCGATTCTCACTTTAAATATTTAAAATATGTTTGATAATAAACATATCTGGGTGAGTTTAGTCGTTCCCAAAATGGAACTCGTTCAAAATTTTTTTGGTGTTTTACCCATAATTTTTATATTTCCAAAATGAAGAGAATTATAAGGTCTACAAAAATGATACATAATTTTTTTTTAAACATTGTAGGACTCTAAATATTTACCCGAGTGAGTTCACTTGAGATTATTTAAAAAAAATCTAGAAAGATCGCACCCTGTATTGAAAACTTTGAGCCCATAAACTCTGGATCAATTTGAGCTAGAACTAACTTGTATATAAACCATCATGCAAATTTCCTTGGTCTTCAGTAGTATTTCAAAAAAGATGTGTAATTCATTTTCTTTACATTAGCAATATATTAGTAACTTTGTTAAACAAAGTAAGCCACTTAGAAAAAATGACTTATGGAATCCTCCTATGTGCATATATTGGAGATGTGCAAAAATTCATCAATCGACACGTGTCAATAAAAATTTTATTTCGGGTTGGAGCATGTTTGGGCTATTATTTTTTGTTTACATTACTAAATTGTAAACAAAAATATACGTATCCGATTGGTCGTGGAATATGGAATTCATTTTATGTTTGGGTTGATCGAGTTTGCTTTACCTTTTAGGGTCAGGTTCGGGTAACGAATTAAAAGTTTAAAAAAATTTATTGCGCCTAAGATCGGCATAGAAATTTGTAAAAAAAAAAATCAAACGCCCGCTTTCCATATTTTTAGAGGCCGTTATAGGACGAGTGCGTAGCGTTAAGAGTTTTTTTTAAATTTAAATATTAGATTGTGTCGCAATTTTATCCTTATATACAAAGAAAAAAATTTGACGATTTTGAGAAGCGTATAAGCCCTAGTCGGTTCGGATCCGATGGTCCTAGGTTCGAATCCAGCAAGGGTCATTTTTTAAAGCCAACTTGGTGATTCCGTTTTTAGAGGATGTGTGGAGAGGGGGGGGGAAGGGGTGATATAAGGTAGATGGGATTCGATCACGTGATTCCGTCAACATATAATATATAGTCGTTTTTTCTTAACAAGTGGTTTTAAAGTCAAAAAAAAAATCGTAACCCTTATAGGACGAAGGTATCCGTTCCAATCGCGTAACTTTCTCCCCCCCCCCCATCGCTCATAAACATAAATCATGTGAAACGTAAATTATTTTCAAGTTGTTTTCCTCGAGGAGGTATTTGTAGGTTTATATAAAATATATATATAATATCGTTTTACATACATAAAAAAATAGTAACATTTTTAACATGGTAAAACAAGAAAATCGAATAAGAAAACATATCACACGGTAAACAAACTATGAAACGTAGTTATTAGACCTTCCAAAAAAAAATATAAATAAATAATATTGGAAAACGCGTTTTTAAAAAAAAGCAGAAGAAAAAAAAAGAATAATTCAAAATGGATGCCTTCATTTTTTTAGTAATTTAAACCGGGCATATTTTAGGGGTGGGATGATGATTATATAAAAATAGGCACATAGAATTTAATTATGTCAGTATGATAACGGTTTCGCAAACTCGGGATTGTGCTATGTCGACCCGGATTAAAACTCGATTTTACCGGTTTATCATTTCGGTAATGGTGGAGAATGCCATATAATATATGCATTCATTAAAAGTGTACATCAACGAAAAACAGCTGGGGACGCCATTTTGATTACCCATATCATTATTTATTAATATTTTAAAACATCAAATTTCCTGTAAAAAAAATATAAAAAATTTACATTCTCCCTAAATTTTCGTATTATGAAATTCGGGGAAATTTTTTAATATTATTTATTTTTTTATTTATTTATTTTTATTTTATTTTTAAAAAAATAAATAAATATGCGATCGTCTGTATATTTGGTGGAAATTTTTCCTTCCTATTAATAACGCGCGTCGCTATGATAGCGTGAAAAATGGAGGAAAATGCGCATCGACCCGTACTCGACGTATTGAGGCGTTTATGGAGGGATCTTAACTCTTAAGGTGAGCATCATCAGAATTGGAAGAAAATATTCCTCTCATTTATATATTATATGTATGTGTGAATATTCTTTATTTTTCGTATAATATTAAAAGGATATCAAATTTAAATTTAATTAAATTATTAAATAATATAATATTCAAAATAAATTGGTTATAGTCCTAACTTAGTAGCATCCAAAATAGCAACGCCGCCATTTTAAAATTTTTAAAATAATATACTCCATTTTTAATGTAAAAATTAAAGAATTGTGAAAATTTTTTCCACCAATATCCAAGCAATCGCATATTTATTAATAATGAAATACTCTGTCTTTTATAAATTGCGATACGATTCGGGCAAAATCACGTGATTTTAAATTTAAAAAGTTGCTAAAAAACCCAGATTTTCTACGTATTGGTAATTCGTGTTACCCAATCTGGCAAGCGGGAAATTTAGGGGAAAAGTGTTTTTTGACTCGGTACGAAAGAAAAAGACATTTATATGTGCGCGTGCGCCTAGTTCAAAATTTTAAAAAAAAATTCGCGAAATTCCGGCCCATTCGGGAAAATGTCCCGCGAAATTATCCGGCTAACATCATCGGCATAAATCTAAATGCCATCATCGTTACAAAGGTAGTTTCGTCTATGTTTCGCAAATATCTTATCACATGATTTAATTTGAATTGTGTTTGATTTTATTTGATTATATTTAATTTAAAAAGGTCGAGACAGATTTATTTAATGAGTTTCTAATAGGAATCTAGGAAGCCCTTCCTGTGATTGTGCTGAAATGGTGATCGTGGGAAAATGTTGTGCCCACTGTAAATATAATATGGTCTCTATACATCCTCTAGGTAAAAATGGTTTCCTATTTCAAATGAGTTTTTTTTTTTAAATAATTACTCGTTTAATGCGATTTTATTAAAAAAAAATTTTTTGGATTAGAAGCTTATTTGCGGTTTCAATGATCTCTCAATCGTTATAAGTTGGTAGAGATTTCGTGAACTATGAATCATCCAAAATGCGACTTCTTATAGGATGTTCAAGATGCCAGGAGAAACGAATCACTTGTAGGATTTCTATAAGTAATGAGATTGAAATTAAAATAAAAGACCAAACCTAAGACCGGTATTAACCGGAGACCTTAAAAAAACAGGGTCTATTAAATATTTTGTCCTGGCATTCGTTTTTTTTATTTTCTTCGTGTTTTTTTTTTAAATTTAATTTTTAAAAATGAAAGAATTAACTCTAATTTTAATTTTAAATAAAAATGGGTACAAAAAATGCAGGATTTCAAATCTACCCTTAAAAAGTTATTATTTACCGAGCCTAAACCGAACCCGAAGCGTTAAAAAAAATTTCACCCGAACCTGAACCGAACCTATAAAAATACGCGTGAAGCGGTTTGAATCTTTTGATATTTTCGCTCTAGATGATTAATAATCAGTTTTGACAGATAAATATCGGTAAACAATTTTAGATATATTTTCCATAATTTGTGACGATGTCGCTAACTAAGCTGGCGGACATGTGTGTTCTCAACTCCCATATTTGTATTCCTCCTCCTTATAAGATATAATTTGATAAGAGAGAATATCTAAAATATTTTGACTGACGGTTCAATATTATACTTCAACCGATATTCGTTATGGGTTGGATTCCTGGAAAAATTTTTAACTTTAATTTTAATTTTTTTTTGTTTTACTTTCATTTCATCTTATTTTAATTTTTTTTTAAAGTGCACCTTTGTTTTATTTTTTGCGTTTACCCCCCCCCCCTCAAGTCCTACCCTACCACTAATAAGTGGTCATGTCGTGAAGTTATAGCTAAAATTTTTGTCAATATATATATACAGGTAATCTATATAGTAGATGAAAGGACCTGCTGTTAAAAAACGGTCCAACTAAGATTATGACCAATAAAACATTATGCAAGCCAGAAGATTTCACTCATAGCTGGCAGAAATTCTTGAGACTTTGTTTGCCAAATCTTGACGCTAACATAATATTATTTTAGCTTAAAATCTTAATCGGGCCATTTTGAAAAATCGACCCAAATCGAGCTTTTTAACAACACTAACTTAAAGGATCACGAATCTAGATAATAAAGTATTATTTGAATTTAATAAGAAATATTAATGATTGCAAAAAAGTATCTGATCATTTATGAGATAATTTTTTTTTTAAAGTTAAAATTTTCCTTTATTTTAAAAAATATCTTCCATAATAACATATATTTATTTTATTATTTTTTTTAATTTTATTTTGATAATATTGATATTGGTATAATTTTAAAAAAAAATGATAAAAACAACTAAAATATTAAAACAAACTTATAGAAAAATATGTAAAAATATATAAAATTACTAAATAAAAATATATATTAATAGTATTGAAGGCTCTAAAAAGAGCTTAATTTAATAAAAAATGTACCTAAAAAGCAAGTATAATTGTGTTTATATTAAAATATAAAAACTTGTTATGACAAATATAAAAAATAACATGTTAAATTTCGAAAAAAATATTTAAGGCAGGAGGTATACACACACAATATATACATATATATATATATAATTTATGAATTGTTGAAAAATTGAAGATGGCTTTTTCTATAAGAAAATTTAATTTAAATGATTTTTATATACATATTTTTTTGTCATTTTTTCAACATTTCTTATATTAATACTTTGGTTCCATTATAATCTAAAAATTTTAATGGTTTTCTTCCATTATGATTTTATATTCATATCAGCTTTTTTTTATATTCATTCTGGTTTCTATAAATTTAGGTTTTTTTAAATAATTCATATCACAAAGTATGTTTTTTAATTTACCAATATTGATATAATAAAATAGTATACATATCTATCTTATAATAAACCAGAAATTAAGAAATAATTGTCCAACTAATGATTCATACTAATATACCTTTCTTGTTAAAAATAAAATATCATAATTATTTTTAGGCTGTGTCAAAAATATAAAAATATTAAATTAGCAAATTTAACATTTTTGAAAAATAGCTTTTTTTAAAAAAAATTAATATAAAAATGAAAACATGACCAAAATATAATTTTATTCTAGAAAATTTTAACAAATTTCTGAAGTTTTCAAAACTTTTGTGAATTTTAAGAATAAATTTTTGATGCAATCTAATAAAAATTAATAACATTATTTAACCTCTGCTTTTCCTAGACTTGACGATATCAAAGGTTTATTTCCAGCATTATAATTCCATAATAGCTTCCCTTCATTATTGAGATCAATAGCATGTATATAACCATCCAATGTGTTCACTAATAACAATGATCTATTATTAAATTATATAAAGATTATTTTTAAATTTATAAAAGTATACGTGCTAGAATTTTCAGCAATTGATCGATCAAAAGAATTCGTTTGGGAGTGTAAGTTTTGAAAGCACATTGATATCAGTATGAAACAAAAAAGGTAATAAGTAATTTTAATGTATATACAACATAATTTTTTGAAATAAATAGAACATAAATTCATATCACAGTAAAATGTGAGAATAGTTGTTTGTTAAACCAGTTAAAACTAACAACTAAAATCATTTTATATATTGATATAAAAATCAAAGCATTTAAAAAAAATTATTTTAACGTTATATGAATGTATGATAATATCAGGTGATGATCACATACCTATTATCTAATACAGGTAATTAGGAAAATTATGACACATTCATCTCGACATATCTCGATTCTAAAAAAATATTTTGACTACTTAACTCAAGAAATGAGTACTGCTAGATAATTTAATTTCAAAAGAGCTCATTTAAATATAATCAAATTATTCAAGAAGAAAAAGAAACAGCAACTTGGGAAATTAATTTTTTTTCATTTTAGTGTATAAGAATCAATTATTTGCTATCATTTTCATAGGATCTTATATCTTAGAGATTAAGTTTTTATTTTTAATTATATTTCAATCACAACTTTTAATATAATAAAAATCCTTTTTCTATAGAAATGATAAAAAAAAACAATTTAAAATTTTTATTTTATTAGATAAAATTTCTTTGGTTCTGATATAAGGGACTTTATTTTGCCACATTCCGGTTGACCCAAGGGAAGCACAAAGTTTGAGAAAACTCGTTTAAAAAATAATTTTATATATCAAACTCAAATATAAAGAATATAAAATTACATAATATACAAAATATATATATATATAATTAAGATTCTAATAATAATCAGCTTTGATTATTAATAATGACCTAAATAAATGTTAAAATGGATATCAATCGGATTTTAATTAAAATTTCAAAAATAGAGTAACGCATGTGAAATCGCAAAATAAGGATAAACTTAGAGATAGAAGTACCGAAGAAAACCCATCTGGCCTTATTAGTGTTTTAATATCTTTGGTTTAATAGTTATCAAAATAAACTTTTTTTTGATTTTTATTTTAATAATTTCAAATTAATTTAATTAATTTTTATATTTTGAAGTAATGTCCCAGCCATAGTGTATATATCTAATTTCACTTTTATAAATTACTGTAAATTATTAAAATTATGTATTAGTATATTTTAAAAAAAATAAAATATAGTAAAGTAGATATTAAAAAAATAGAAATGATAGAACATTTTAAACTTATAATCTAAATTAATAACTATAATAAAAATCAAAAATTCTGATATTAAACATTAATAAAACATATGTAATTTATATTTCTAATAAATTAAATTTTTTATTAGTTCGATTCCGAGTGTTTATTTTCTTCAAACATACATCATCGAAATATGTCGGTAAGTATAAAAAACCTTATCATTTATTTATAATTACATTTCTATTAATATATATATATGGGATAAAGGATGCAAAGATACAAAAAAGGAAACAATATAGAAGCTCTGCAAAGAAAGGAGGCAAGAAGAAGAAAGTGTCATTGAAATTTACGATCGATTGTAATAATCCAGTTGAAGATGGGATTATGGACGCAGCTGATTTAGTATAAAAATTTTGTTAAAACATATTTTAATGCTATCTTTTAGGAAAAATATCTTAAGGAGAGAATAAAAGTTAATGGCAAAACTGGATATAAAGGTAAAGACCTTAATTTAGAAAGAAATAAGGCTAAAGTAACAGTTATATCTGAAATTCCATTCTCAAAAAGGTAGATTAAATAGTCCTCAAGTTTATATTATTTCCTTATATAGATATTTAAAGTACCTTACAAAAAAATATCTTAAAAAACATAACCTGCGAGATTGGTTGAGAGTTGTGTCAAATGGCAAAGATAGTTATGAACTCAGATATTTCCAAATCAACAATGAAGAGAATGAGGATGAAGAAGGAGATGAATAAATTTATACTTGATATAAATATATTTAATAAAAGGATATAAATAAAAGTTTGAATTTTGTTTTCCAAATAAAAATGTTAAAAGCCTTAATATAAGATATTTATTATTATTCCTTTATCCTTTCATTTACATAATCATTTATTTATTATTCATATCAAAACTATTCTATTTAACAGTTATTTATATAGAATTTTAGTGAATCAAGAAGACATTACTAACTGGAAGAGTCTCCACAGACTCAATGTATTCAATCATTAAGTGGATTAAAAATTATTTCCATAAACAATAATAAAATAGAGTGCTTTCATTCTTCAAAATATAGCCATATATGTAAATAATTATAGTGTCATTACATATCAAATGAGCAATGAGATTTCAATCTAATTGCTATCCAGAGTTGTTAAACCCTACTTTTAAAAGTAGCGAGCTATTGAAATTTGTCAAAAAAAGTATTGCACTATTTCTATTGCTACCCATCACATAAAAATAGCTTTGGCTACATCAATTGGTTTTATTTTGATAATAAATCATTTCTATACTATCATCCCCAAGTCTAGAGCAACAATCAGAAAGTATAAGTTTGGCCTTACTAAATAATCTCTTAATGCTAGCACTTGAGGGCAAGGCAGTATTTAATTTTATATACATACATTTAAAATAATCAAAACAACTAATTTGAGTATCTTTAGATTTTAAAAAATGTGCTTAGGGAATTTTCTATTAGTATCCTTTATTTAAGGAAAATTATCAGTGGAAGTTGTTTCTATGGTTCTAACTAGCATCTTTGCTATCTCAATCATTAATATCTAGCAACAAAAAATTGTACCAGGGGATAGAGTTTTAATCATCATTAAATGATGGATTATCAACCATGGACATTGGCTGTGCTGTATCAATATTAAAATTGACAATGACTATCAACCAATATCTGAGAAATATTGGCATGAGCTATATTATTAATCAATTATGCTTGAATTGAATTGGTCTTTTTGGATGTAGTCTTCCCTATACCAAAATTATTAAGATGTTTTTCTATCTCTTTTACAGTTAAACGAATAAATTTGTAGCCACCTTTTGTTTTTACATTAATTTGAAAATATTTTTCAAATTTTGGAAATGGAAAATTTGTATTATTGTTATCAAGAACATTTTCTATCAGGGTACATTCCATTTCATTAATATCATAATTGTCTGATTGACATCAGTTTGGATATCCATTTATGATAACATTTTAAATAATTCACATCAGAGGATTTAGGTATATTAATTAAATTAATTAATTATGATATATTTAAATTTTCATGTTATTTATAGTTACATTTCATTAAGTTAAGTGCTATTCTTTAAGTTAAAACCTTGATTCATTAAAGCTTAAGATGATCGTTTTTTATATTTATTTTCACCAGATATTTCAATGGGTTCGAGAATTCCGCCATTCCGTAATGGGGCATTAAATAAAGTAAGTATCTAAAAACCTGTCATCAGTGTCAATTGTTATTTTATTTCTTTCCTAGTGTCAATTGTTATTTTATTTCTTTCCTCAAAGACCAGTATACCGCTCTTATTAGAAAGAAAGATTTCTTTCAATTTAAAATATGATTCAACCTCTGCTCCGAAGTCTCAATCGGTGGTGACCGGCCTTCATCGCCTCACTCGCATAAATTAGCGGTGCTGGTGATGTCTACATATTTTTAAAATGAATTTAAATTTATAATCCTATGTATTACATTTTTTTTAATATATATATATCGGCTAACTCAATTAGCCAGAAAAATTTGCCTAAGCCTTGAGACTTCGCTAATAGATAAATAAACATATGTGCTATCTATGACCAAAATCTTCAGTTTTGCATCAACTTTTTCTGGCTTGCCGTTTTTAAAAATCGGCTCAAATCGAGCCGTTTAGCAACACTACCTCTTAGTTCCATCATTGTTAACATGGTTTGGTTCTGAAATAATTTCCTGTCACCCCCCTATATTATAGATTTATGTATTTCTAATTCTCCAAAGAATCTAAGCAATTGTCTTTTTTGTAAATTAAGATCAATGTTTTATCCATTTTTATTTAAAACAAATCTATTTTACAATTTGGGAACACAAACAAAATATTAAAGTGAGAATTAGAAAAAATCACATTTAGTTAATTTGTCAACTGACATGATTACTAAAGTATACTGTATTGGAAAAAATCGAATACAATTTAAATTGAAATATTGAGAAAAAGGGAGAGATGAGGGAAATAAGGTGTTTTTACAAGACTCGGAATTTTCATTTTAATCATCATTTCAATTCTCTATGGTAGTGACATATGGAAGATTACTAAGACTGATACCAGATTATTGCAAATGTTCGTAAATAAATGTCTAAGAATAATAAACGACATCTTCTACCCAAATGTTATGTCGAATGAAAACCTTTGGAAGATGTCTAACCATACCCAAGTTCACGTGTCTTTAAAAAAAAGCGCCTTACTTTCTTTGCCCATATCTTGAGAAACCATAGTAACAATAGCCTCGTTATTGATGCCAACAATTGGTTATACTCCTTTAATGGGAAAACATATTGTAAAAGATATTATGGTTCTACAAAGCTTTGAGGGACATATGGATTTAAACTTAAATTGGAACAGTTCCTGAGGCTAAATAAGAACAAAAAGTTTACAAAGAAATTACTAAAATTAAATCGAACTACCTAAATCTCTCAAAAAAAATTCCTCCTGGTTTCAGGTTATTTAATCTTTTTATATCTCACTTTACCTCCTAACTTTGTCTTTCACCTATTCTGTGAATTACTTTCTTCACGACATTAGCTTTTATTTTTCATCCCAAACTTATTATTGTTTCAATGTGCCTTAAATTTAGGTCCGTCCCATGCTTTTAATAAATACAATGTCTTAGGTGTAGTTTTGCTTCCTATACTGCTTCCAGTTAAGCTATGTTCATGGCGTTGAGTTATAGTTTGTGATTTGTGTTTCTTATATTGACTAGAATTTTCGGCTCTTTTTAAGGCTATGCTTACTTTTGGGTATGGTTTGTCTTTTCCATATTTGAGTTCGCAATGTTACTGGGGTAGAAGATATCTTCTGTTGTTTATGAGGCATTTATTCTTTGAAGTCACCAATTTCAATTTATTTATTAATCCCCCCCCCCTTTTGGTTCTTCTAATATGTCCCTTTCTTCCATAGACTAATATTGGAATTGTTGTTGTGTCCACAGTCTGGAAAATACCGAATTCTCTCTTGTCTTCCATACTTTTATATACGTTTACAAAGTTATCCCATCGCCTTTTGTATTCTAATTCGTCCTTTTCTTTACAACTACTTTTATTATCAAGTGTGACCTCTAAGTACCTTTGGCGACTACATGTTCCTCTTTATCTCCAACTATAAGTTTTAGTAATGGTGGCGTTATTCCTAGTGTTATCGAAGTCTTCTGTAGAGAAATACTTGTCCAAAGGAAATTTTTGTTAATAAAATATCATTCAAAATTTTAGTATCTAAATCTAAAGATAAAAATGATAATAATATATATATACCCATACATGATGAAATCTTAAAAAGAATATTTATATATTTTTATAAAACCCAAAATTCAAAAAAAAAGATGACTAAACTAAGAATTGAAAAATTGACATCATAACTTCAAAAAATAATGGTGGAAATTTCAAATTTTTTTTATTTTATGATTATATAAGTTTTTACCAAATAAATTAATCTAAAGCGAAAAATTATTCTCCTATAATTCATATTATTTTTAATTAAAAAATAAAATTTAAAAATATTACGCCATCTAACGGAAATTTATTTGTGGTTTAAAATTTTGTTATTATCTTTCCTTCACATATAAATTTATGGATTACTTTTTATGCCATATTCTTTTCTATTTTATTAAATAATTTTAATTTTTGGATAAATTTGATTTTAATAAATGAATACTTATGAAATAATGTTTATTTAAAAATTATGTCTTGATGATAGGCTCTTACTTTTTTTTTATATATAAGCAAACTTTTGACAAGTTACTTATATAGTGTGATTTATTTAACACTTAAGATATTTATCTGTTATTGCTTGATTTAAATATAAATTTTTTTTAGCATAAATCAATTTACCAATAATTAAAATTCAACAAATATCATCATATTTAATTGATATATTCACATTCATATTGTTTATGTGTTAGCTCTTTAACTTTTAATTCATCTTAAAATCATAATTATAATAATAATTCTTTACATTTATATTAAAGAAACATGAATACTCCGAATCGATAATAATATTCTTAAACGAAAAATATAATAAAATCATAATATATTATTGGAAAATAGTATATATATATTGTATTCCATATCAAATCAACTGAAGATTCAACCAAGACCCCCTTCGATTTTTAAAATATAAATTATAAATAATAATAATATTTGTGGTAGATGCATAGTAAGGTATGTAGATATTTTTATTTTTCTAATGTTAACATTTAGTGGTATGTTAATGTTTTTTTTATTATCAATTTTTTTTTACATAATAGTATTATTTTAGAAAAAATATATTATTATTTTTGTTATGATAATTTCGGTAACAAAAAGAAGAATAAAATTAGTTTTTAGATTTTCAATCTAGAGAAATAAAATAATTTCTTATTTCGAAGTAAAAGTAGAAGTAGAGGTAGAAGTACGAACGATAAAAGTGGGGTGGCCACGAGTCGGACTTCGAATTTAATAAGTGTTAGTTAGAGATATTAGGTTACCCGTGTGTCGGACGTTTAGAAGTCTGTGCTGTCAAATTGTATTACAAAGGTCTATTCCACGGAAGTGCTACCCAAATTTTTATCAAAAAGCTAGTTACAGGGAAGTGCTGCCCAAATTTTTGCATATTAAAGCCTATTAGAATATCGCTCAAATTTATTAAATAAGCCAGTTACATGGAAGCGCTGCCCAAATTTAAAAGCCTATTAGAAATTCGCTCAAGATTTTATTAAATAAGCCAGTTACACGGAATTGCTGCCCAAATTTTTGGTAAATATAAATCTGTTAGAAGAAATTTACACGGATTGTGTCATTTATTAATCTGTTAAGTGTGCATGTATTGTGCAT